CTAATAGCGTATTTTCTGACTACGGTCAGTATTCTCTCCTCAAAGTACAGGAGACTTCCAGGATTCAGGGCCTGGAGCACATGCGTGCATACACACACAAAGTTCTCAAGCAGTGTAGATTTGGGCATTAAATTTTGTTTAAAAACTCTCAAAATATCAACACATTAAGTGACTAAGAAATGGTGCCTGACTACTTGATTTTTAAACAACAAAAACATGATCTCAGGTCCCTTCCTGGACTTCTTCTTTTTACAAAATTTAAGAAGTATTGGGATGTATTTGACAGTGAATTATTTCTACCAAAATTTGAAATTTCTAATAGTGTCACTAATGTTTTAACTATAACAGGTTCTTCTTGGCAAAAACGGAAATGGATGGAAAATTTATGCTGTCAAAGTGTTACAGAAAAAAATAGTTCTCAACAGCAAAAGAGGTAAAATAAAATAGCTGTTTGCTTCTCCCCAAGCCCATTTTCTCAATTAAGAGAGTTGTTTCTAGCTGTATAATAACAAATTGATCTTTTGGCCTTTTTTCCAGCAAAAAACATATTATGGCTGAACGTAATGTGCTCTTGAAAATCGTGAACATCCATTTTTGGTTGGATTGCATTATTCCTTCCAAACAACTGAAAAGCTTTATTTTGCTTCTGGATTTTGTTAATGGAGGGGGAGGTGAGTTTATAATGAGTTTTCTAATATTAAAAGTTTAGAAAAATAGCCATAAAGTCAAAGTTTTCTTGTAAGTTTTAGAAGGACAGTATAAAAATCAGTAGCCTTTTTTATAGCCAATAATATTCAAGGTGCTGGCTGAATACATGCAGGATGTGGAGAATAGTAACACAGAGCTTTTAAGCATACGTATAGTTTGAAAAGGTTCATAAAAGAACCTTGATATGAAGCTGCTGGCTCTCATGGACAGGTTTGTCACTAAACTATACAGCAAGAATAACTATGTGAAATATTAGAATAAACGTCGTGACTTTTGTAATTTAGGCAATTATCTCAACAGTTGCATCAAAATTATCTCCAGGTTCTCATTTTCCAAGATATGCAAATTATCAATCAGATGGCTATAGCTCCTCTAATAAGGGGCTCTGTGCGTGGTAGCTTGGGCTCAGTGGTTTGCCACCTTTAGTCTCAGCTGCTCAGAGACTGAGGCAGGAGGATCACTTGAGCCAGGAGTTTGAGGCTACAGTAAAGCTATGATTGCCACTGCAGCCTGGGGTAACAGAATGAGACCCCGTATCTTTTAAAAACACACACACACACAAACAAAAAAAGCTTTATGATAAAGTCTGTTTTGGAAATGTTTCATGTTATATCGTTTCTTGGTGTTTCACACGTATGCGCTCAGCGTGTTAAAGACTTTGAGAAATTCTGCTCTTATACAACAAGTCCAGGATAATCTTTTTTTTTTTTTTTTTTTTTGAGACAGTCTCTGCTCTGTCACCAGCTGGCAGTGCGGTGGTGTGATCACAGCTCACTGCAGCCTCAACCTCCTCCAAATCCAAGAGAATTTTTTAAAACCATGCAGTCGGCCGGCGGCGTGGCTCACGCCTGTAATCCAGCACTTTGGAGGCTGACGGCGGGTGGATAACGAGGTCAGGAGATTGAGACCATCCTGGCTAACATGGCTGAAAACCTGTCTCTACTAAAAATACAAAAAGTTAGCAGGGCGTGGCGGCGGGCGCCTGTAGTCCAGCTACTTCGGGAGGCTGAGCAGAGAATGGCGTGAACCCCCGGGAGGTGGAACTTGCAGTGAGCCGAGATCGCACCAGTGCCCTCCAGCCTGGCGACAGAGCAGGTCCGCCTCAAAAACAAACAAAAAAACCATGCAGTCCCCGTTTTTTGTTCCAACAGTCGCTCTTAAGTATTATGCAAACTCTGATTCAGATGGATAATTGAAATACACTTTGGAAATGCTGCTATTATAATAATTACAATAATATACTTCCATTGAGTATATTGTATCCATCACTCTGGCTCTTTGTACATATAATTGTTTAACTTCACCAACACTATAATCGAAGACTGACTGAGGCACAGAGAAACTAGGTAGCTTGTAGAAGTAATGTGGTAACTATCCCAGAGGCAGGATTGAACTCAGGCAGCCTGATTCCAGGATCTAGGCAGAGCTGACTTCTCACCCTCACACCTTTCTAATTTGTTTGTTTTGGGTCTTTGACCTGTGAATGTCTTAAAAATCATTGTAATAATAGGTATTGGTCATATCTTTACAAAGGGATCTTTCATCCCCCAGTCTCAGAGCAGAAAATCACGTGTTTCAGAATTACTGTGAGTACACATTTAACTGTCAATAAAGGGAACTATAAGGAAAATGAGTTAATATTCTGCAAAACCAAAAAGATGGTCAGATCACACCTAGATCATTTTAGGGAAGATTGTAATAAAGAATGATTATTCACCTTTATACATCTCATGACAAAGTCCTTAAGGCCAGGTGTGGTGGCTCAAACCTATAATCCAGGCACTCTACGGAGGCCAAGATGGGTGGATCGCTGAGCCCAGGAGTTCAATACCAGCCTGGGCAACATGGCGAAACCCTGTCTCTACCAAAAAAAGATAACAAAAAATTAGCCAGGCACGGTGGCATGCCTCCGTAGTCCTCAGGGAGGCTGAGGTAGAGGAGGATGTTTGAGCCCAGGATGTCACGGCTGCAGTGAGTCATGATCACACGGACTGCCACTCCAGCCTGGGTGACAGAACAAGACACTCGTGTCAAAATAAAAAAAAAAAAATCCCTTAAGACTCTTCAGTGTGGAGGCAAGATTATGCATCTCTCAGGCATCCTGATTCGCTGATGCAGGTGACCCCGTATTGTTTTCACCTTGAAGGTTTTCATTTAATTTTGTGTGTGCCCGAGTGCTGACAGGTAAAGAGAATTTATTGAGGCTTGGCACTTTGCAATTATTTTACATGCATTATGTCAGCAAATCACAACTCCTTCAGAAAACACTATTATGCCCATTTAATGAAATTTTCTTTCTTATTTATTTATTTATTTATTGAGATGGAGTCTCTCTGTCACCAGGCTGGAGTGCAGTGGTGCAATCTCAGCTCACTGCAAGCTCCGACATCCTGGTTCAAGCGATTCTCCTGCCTCAGCCTCCTGAGTAGCTGGGATTACAGGCATGTGCCATGACGCCGAGCTAATTTTTGTATTTTTAGTGGAGACAGGATTTCGCCATGTTGGCCAGGATGGTGTCGAACTCCTGACCTCATAATCCGCCCGCCTCGGCCTCCCAAAGTGCTGGGATTACAGGCGTGAGAGACCATACCTGACCAAAATTTTCTTATTTATAAATAAGAAAGGTTAAATAACAGTCTCAATGTTACAGTGTTCTAGTAAGTGTCAGGCCCTGGATTTAACCTAGATACATCAACTGCAGAGCCCATTCTTTTTTTTTTTTCTTTCTTCTGTGGTTTTTTTTTTGTTTTTTGTTTTTTTAATTATACTTTAAGTTCTCGGGTACATGTGCATAACGTGCAGGTTTGTTACATATGTATACTTGTGCCATGTTGGTGTGCTGCACCCATCAACTCGTCAGCACCCATCAGCTCGTCATTTACATCAGGTATATCTCCCAATGCAATCCTTCCCCCCTCCCCCCTCCCCAAACAGAGCCCATTCTTAAGTGCCACCTTGTGTCTTTGAAATGTTCATGAGAAGCATGTAGTGCAGGTGAGATCCCACTGCAAGCTCCCTGCTTTATGTGTGGTTTCTTCGTGCTCTTTTAGGGCTCTGCTTCTGAGACCTTTTTGTACAGTGACTGCTCACTGGCAAAGATTGAAAGAGGTAGTCTTGTCATCTGAAAGATGCAAGATAATGAAAAAAGGAGAATAAAATACAATAGAATGCCAGGGTGGGTGGAGGAGAAATTGAGTGGGTAATAGGTAAACAAGGGTTAAAGATGAAGAGAAAAGTTAGAGGCAGGAGGAGTGTGGTTTCCATACATTAATACTCTTATTTTCTCCCAGTGTTCATACTTAGAAATTTTAACCTTGACATATGAATACTTAGCTTTGTATACCACCTCGTATCTTTTTCAGAGCAAAGTAGAATAAAAACAAGTAGGCTGTATGATACTTGGCAGATAAGCAAGCCTCTCTGAGCCTCAGCTTCCTCATTGATTTTCTGCATCAAAGTCATTGGGTAAAGTCCACATAGGAGACATCAACATTGAGGTGGTGGTTAAAATCAACAGAATGGATCAAGTTACCTGGGAAGGGTATTTGGAGAAAAAATAACAGTGGACCGAGGGCAGAAACGCTGTCGTCCCTGCATTTTCCAAGGCCAGGAAGGAGCAGAGATGGAATTCACCAAGACTTAAGGAGAGATTTTTGTCTTAGAAGCCAAGGGACCCAGTGGAAACTTCCCCCAGGCAGTAACCTTAGTTAAAGACCAGGTTATAAGAAATAAATTAAAAATTAGGAAGTATAAGAAATGAACTAGAGAGTCCGACTGCAGTTTAGCTGCAGCCAGTTGCTGCTGCTGTGAAGGGTAGGCCTCATGGTCCAGAGCTTACCTTTTTTTAAAAAAGAAACTAAAACCGTGAATTTTTACCCCTAAATTCCCAGTTTTTAATGTTACCAACTAATGCAGAGTTTCTGAAAAACAGTATTTGGCTCAAGTAAATTATATCTATGGAGATATATATTCATATGGTTATATTTGTTCTGCTGGGCACTAGTTTTTAATCTCTGAATAGTGTTTGTTTTTTCAAATGGAAAACAGTCCAGAAAGGCCCTGTAAGATAATTACATGGCAATATCAAGATCATTGATCTTTATTGATAATCTTTTCCAGAGCAGTTGCCTGGAAGGGTGAGGACATTATTGCGTTGGGTAGTAAATGGGAGATGAGTGACATTAGCAAGGGTAAACAAAGACACGTGGTTAAAGAGAGAGAATGATTGTTAGGTGGGGACATGGATGAAGGGGAGTCACAGTTCTGTGCCTTGTTATATTTTTAGCTCACGTTTAAAGTAACAAAGAACAATTTCTACCTTGTATTTACCAAATATATTTGTCTAATGTTATGTGTGAATGATCCTAACATTCTCTCTCTCCCACCCCTCAACCAATTTTACAGCTTTTTTTCCACTTACAAAGAGAACGGTCCTTTCCTGAGCACAGAGCTAGGTTTTATGCTGCTGAAATTGCTAGTGCATTGGGTTACTTACACTCCATCAAAATAGTATACAGGTACAATTTTTAAATATACTTGTAAAAATTATATATAACAGTATTTTATTTCAGTTTGTATTCAGTTTTGCTTTTCCTTCCTTTTAATTTGGTAGAGACTTGAAACCAGAAAATATTCTTTTGGATTCAGTAGTAAGTATTCTCTTTTAAAAATCTACTAGTTCTCAATTTTTGTTGTTGCTTTTATGCTTAGTGCAAAAAAAAGTCTCAGAGATTCTGTACTGTGTTATTTTATTTATATAACATTCTCAAAATGACAAAACTGTAGAGATGGAGAACAAATTAGTGGTTGACAGGGTCCAAGGGGATAGAGAGTGCAAAGATAAACGAGTAGCATTAGGGAAGTTCCTTTGCAATGGAACAATTGTGTCTTGATTGTGGTGGTGGTTACGTGAATCTATACATCTGTGTTGCGTAGAGCTAAGCACACACACAAAGCATGCATGTAAAAAGTGAAAACTGAATAAGGTTGACAGTCTGGTTAATAGTATTGTACCGATGACAATTTCCTCTGTATACTATTTTGCAATTTCATGTGGATCTATAATTATGTGAAAATAAAAGGATTTTTAAAACTGTTAATTTATTGGCTGGGTGTGGTGGCTCACACCTGTAATCTCAGAACTTTGAGAAGCCGAGGTGGGCGGATCACTTGAGGTCAGGAGTTCAAAATCAGCCTGGGCAACATGGCGAAATTAGCCAGGTGGCATGCACCTGTGGTCCCAGCTTCTCGGGAGACTGAGGCATGAGAATTGCTTGAACTCAGGAGGCAGAGGTTGCAGTGAGCCAAGATCACACCGCTGCACTCCAGCCTGGGCGACAGAGTAAGACTCTGTTTCAAAAAAAAAGAAAAACTTGCTGAAAAATTGTCAGTTCCTATTTATGCACTGTTTTATCTTACCGCCCCTGTATTTGTCAGGGACATGTTGTCTTAACAGATTTTGGGCTTTGTAAAGAAGGAATTGCTATTTCTGACACCACTACCACATTTTGTGGGACACCAGAGGTAAGAAATATATCTCATTGTCATTCATATAATCATGTATAAAATGCAAATATGAATTACAGATTGCATATATAAATTTAAAATAAGAAAAGTAGAATAAAAACTGTCATTTCAGCTTCCAGCCAGCTAGAAATATCTGATGATCATGCCTTGATAGTTGGGTATTTTTAACTGTGATTGTTAGATACCACAAGACCCTTTTGAATAATCCAACAAATATAAATTATGTTTATTTGTTTTTAATGTCAGAAGTTTACCTTAAACTTCTTTACACATTTAATTATATTTCCTTTTTTGTTTTTGTTCTAAAATAAATATTGTAGAAAATTATATTTCTAATCCTTTAAAAATCACAAATTAGTGATGAAAGTGTTCTTTTTGTGAATATGTTAACAACATTGAATCACACACTTTAAATGGGTGAATTGTGTGGTATGTGACTATTTTAATAAAGCTGTTTTTCTTTTACAAAATGAGCTAAAGCAAATATGGCAAAATATTAACACTTGACTATATCTCAGTTGCAGTTTATTGTTTTTTCTCATTTTTTTGTATGCTTGAAATCTTTTGTAATAAAATTAAGTGTTTACTTACCAGAAGAAAATAAAGCGGTGGATATGGAAAAAAAAATCACAAATCAGAATTTATTTACCAGACCATCTTCTAATCATGTTAGCTAGCAAAAAAAGTATCTATTTGTGGCAATAATAATAATCCTTACAAATCATGTAAAACCTTTATTATTCATTCTTCACACACAGAAACAAGTTTGATTTATTTTAAACTGTCCAAATTCCAAGGTATTTATAATGATTGTAGGTACCATGTAATATTTCATCTTTTTCGTGGAGTACTTGCAAATACAATGTTGAAAATGTGTGAGAAAATGGCTTCTAATTGAGTTCAGAAACTTAACTAAAAGTATCTCTAAGTAACAAGTATTTACCTTGAAATGAGTTTTTCCTTCTTTTTTCTGTCTAACCCTGGTGCTTGTATATATTTATAACCATTCTGTTTTGGTTTATATATGAAGAAACATTTTTTGTTATTGTATATTAATTTCATAGTTAAAATATTTTGCCATTTCTTTAGATCACATAAAAAAGCTTAAGAGGAAATTACTTTCTTACATGTATTTCATATGGGAAGAGGTAATATATTTTGGAATGTAAAATTCAAGTTCACTATCTTAGATGTGTTAAGTTGTGATGAGTCTAAATTTCCTGCAAATTAAAATGTAAATAGATATCTACAACTTACACAAGTTTTCTAAATAATATGTTAGAGAATTGCTGTTATAATTCTCAAATGATAATACAATTCATTGTTTTTTTACTGAAAAGAAAAAAAAAGGATTATAATTGCTACATTAACAATTCTTGCCAGGTGCTGTGGCTCATGCCTGTAATCCCAGCACTTTGGGAGACCAAAGTGGGCAGATTGTTTGAGCCCAGAAGTTCCAGACCAGCCTGGGCAACATGGCTAAACCCCCGTCTCTATGAAAAATACAAAAAACTAACCAGTTGTGGTGGTGCATGCCTGTAGTCCCAGCTCCTCGGGAGGCTGAGGTGGGAGTATCACCTGAGCCCAGGAGGTCGAGGCTGCAGTGAGCTGTGATTGTGCCACTGCATTCCAGCTTGGGCGACAGAGTAAGATCCTGTCTCAAAAAAAAAAAAAAAAAAGTATTTAAGAGGAAAACATGAGTAATGACCAAATGAACTTCTAAAATAATCTTTGAAAGACTTTTCCCACAAATACCTACTTCACCTATTGAGAATTATAGATTCTACCTTCACTATACTCTTTTATTTATTTTAACTGTCTCACAGTTTCCGAGGAGAAATGCAGAATACATGTATTTTGAAGTGTCCTACGTGACGTTACCTAAGAACCACTGGTGTAGACTGAGAATACCCAACCCACTGGAAATCTAGATAATTTGGTTTTAGTATGATAGCAACAACTAAAATTTGTTAAATTTCTCAATTATTTATAAATTTTGTCTTGATTTGTTTACCAAGTTGCTCTAATATTTTATTATTTTCTATAGTATCTTGCACCTGAAGTAATTAGAAAACAGCCCTATGACAATACTGTGGATTGGTGGTGCCTTGGGGCTGTTCTGTATGAAATGCTGTATGGATTGGTATGTATTTCTATATCTCTTTATTCCAATGTATTCTCATTGATTTGATTGTCTGTCTCTCCCTCCCGCCTTTAGAATCTCATGGACACTTAGATAACACTAACAGAGCAGTAATAGCCGGTTTAATGAACTCAAAACCACATTAGGAAAAAGTACAAAAAGAGGCTGGGCATGGTGCCTCACCCTGTAATCTGAGCACTGTGGGAGGCTGAGGCAGGCAGATCACTTGAGGCCAGGAGTTTGAGACCAGCCTGGGGAATATGGCAAAATCCCATCTCTACTAAAAATACAAAAAATTATCTGGCTATGGTGGTGCATCCTGTAGTCCCAGCTGCTTGGGAGGCGGAGGCCCAAGAATCGCTTGAACCCAGGAGGTAGAGTTTGCAGTGAGCTAAGATTGTACCCGTGCACTCCAGCCTAGGTGACAGAGGGAGATTCTGTCTCAAAAAAGAAAAAAAAAGAGGACAAAAAAAAACCTTTTTATTTTGTTACCAGTTTTTTAAAATTAATATAATTGTTTCTCTGTTATACTAATAACTATTTCAGATGTTCTCACCCCCCTGGCGTTTTTAGAAATAGACACCTGGTTGTAATATTAAAATTATCTGCTTCCATTCAGTTTACTCAAGTATCACTCTAATTTTAAGATAATGAACAGAAAATGATTTTTGCATTTATCAATAAATTACTGTATTTCAGAAGATAAGGTCTTTTGGTTTTTGCCTTTTATTTTGTTTAATAGATTTAATTAATACACAGGTGCTCAGCTTTTCCCATCATTGAAGATCACTCTATTCCCATCCCTGAAAACACCATGTCTTAAAATTTTTCTTGAAAAAAAGTGATGTTTATGCAGTCAGTTTGCCCAGTTCTTATTTAGTTAAAGACACGTAGGCTGGCCAGAACTTCTGATTAACAAGAATAAAGTTTTTTCACTACATTGAGTTAATATTATTCCAACCCAAAGCAAACAGTGTAGGCATTTTAGTTAGCTCAAATAGCTTTATAAGAGTACATGTATGTTTTTCTGTAGGCTTTATGCCATGTTTAGAACAGTTTCTAGACTCCCTTTGTGGTCCCCTAAGTGTCCAGCAGCCTTGTGCTGGGAATGATGTGCAAATCCTTGAAGCTGCTGCTACATGTAGCGCTAATGTTAAATGCTGCTGTCAGCCAAGACCTGAGCTGAGTGTCTGTTTGCTTTTCATTGAAAACTGTGGAGCTTACAGTGAAATTTAGAACATGAAGTACATTTCAGAGCATTTGTTTTATCTTGCTAGTTTCGAATGATAGATTCCTGTGAAAGCCAACATCATCTCTTCTTTGCCCTTGACTGTGACCTGCATGTCAAAAGATCTAGTTGTCTGGTTATGCTGCTGACTTAGAACATTGGAAAACCACTTTGTACCTGATTTCCCTTTAAGCACTGTTTATTTGCCATCTTCATATTTCAGAATCCTTCTAATTTATTTAGAGGACTTTGAAAACATATCATTGCACATAAAATGCAGTTGATTCAAAAGAAGACATTTGAAACATATATTTTATTAATCAAACTTTTACTGATTGTTTTAAAATGAAGTTTTATTTTGGCCAGCCGCAGTGGCTCACGCCTGTAATCCCAACACTTTGGTAGGCCAAGGCAGGCAGATCACCTTAGATCAGGAGTTCAAGACCAGCCTTGCCAACATGGCAAAACCTCATCTCTGCTAAAAATACAAAAATTAACCTGGCACAGTGGCGTGCCCCTGTAATCCCAGATACTTGGGAGGCTGAGTCAGGGGAATCACTTGAACCGAGGAGGCGGAGGTTGCAGTGAGTGGTGATCATGCCACTGCATTCCAACGTGGGCAACAAAGCGAGACTCCGTCTCAAAAAAGACCAAAAAACAAAAAAAAAGTTATATTAAAAGATAAGCTTTTTCTTTCCTACACAAAGGAAAAGTGACAAGCCTATAAAACTCCCTTAACTTTAAAAACTATGTATACTTTATTATTTTTACTTTTTTTTTGAGACAGAGTCTCACTGTGTTGCTCAGGTTGGAGTGCAGTGGACTTCCTTCGCTGCAACCTTGACTTCCCAGGCTCTGATGCTTCTCACACCTCAGCCTGCTGAGTAGCTAGGACTACAGGTGTGCACCACCCCGCCTAGCTAATTTATTAATTTATTTATTTGTATTTTCAGTAGAGACAGGGTGTTGCCATGTTGCCCAGGCTGGTCTCAAACTCCTGAGCTCTAGTGATCTGCCCGCCTCAGCCTCCCAAAGTGCTGGGATTTCCAGTGTGAGCCACTGTGCCTGGCCTCACTTTTTATTTTGTAAACTTCTGTATTGTCTAGATTTGTTACAAGCATATATTACTTTTCTAATTTTCACAAAAGGAGACTAAAAAGAAAAAAATGTCAATTTAATGTTTTAGGTCAGATTCATCTTATTTTATAAAAATACTAGTAACTAATATTTAAGAGGTTAAAAACAAACCCACAAGGGTAAAATATTAGAGGCCAGTCCTCTGGTGAATAAATTGGGAGTTTTTTTGGGAAAAAAAAAATAAACAGTAACATTTTACATGGTGATTCCCCCTTTGGAAAAATGTTTCTGGTGCTCTGGATACATTAATTCAAAAGGAAGTAGTTTTGTAGGTTACATATCATGCTACTCAGGTTACCTTGCAGATAGAACCTGAGTAGCATGATAATCTTCCTTCCTCTTATTCCCAGAATACAGAAACCTGTACAGCTCATTTTTTTTCCTCAAAAGTTGTTTGTTTGTTTATTTGTTTATTTTATTTGAGATGGGGTCTCGCTCTGTGACCCAGGCTGGAGTGCAGTGGCACAATCTCAGCTCACTGCATCCTCTGCCTCCCAGGTTCAACCGATTCTCGTGCCTCAGTCTCCTGAGTAGATAGGACTACAGGCGTACACCACCATGCCTGGCTGGTTTTTTATATTTTCGGTAGAGACAGGGTTTCACCATGTTGCCCAGGCTGGTCTTGAACTCCTGGCCTCAAGTGATCTGCCCACCTCAGCCTCCCAAAGTGCTGGGATTACAGGTGTGAGCCACCATGCCTGGCTTTTACTTTTACCTTAAATCTTTATAATTAGATGATTAGCTAATGCTTGTGTTGAAGCCATACCCCAAGTCTTTTGGCGTCACGGTGGCATTTTTAATTCTGCAAAGTATAGTCATAATATTATCTCTGTCGTAAGTACCTAAGGAACATAATATCTACAGGCCTCCATCTCTACTAGAAATTCCTTTGTTTTAGTGAGTTTATTCCCAAGTCTGAAATTAATGTTTGATCTGTCTTCAACTTCCATTTCCAATGATTCTGTCATTATGCGTACGATAAGGTTGGTCATTTTCTCTAAAACAGATACTACTACAAGTTGTATATAATTTAACAGCTGTCTACAAGGTGGTATTGAACAAACTGGCCCTAATTCATTCAGTAAACACTTATTAAGCTCTGTGATGTGTTGGGTTTTAGAATCTCTTTGCTTCAAGAAGCCACACTGCAGGTATCTGCACGACCTAAGAGGTCCGTACATTTTTTCAACTGACTGCTCCCTCAAGATCAAAGCCATTTTAACCCCATTTTTGCATAATTTGTTTACCACTAAGTTTTATTTTGCTTTTTTTTTTTCCCAGCCTCCTTTTTATTGCCGAGATGTTGCTGAAATGTATGACAATATCCTTCACAAACCCCTATGTTTGAGGCCAGGAGTGAGCCTTACAGCCTGGTCCATTCTGGAAGAACTCCTAGAAAAAGACAGGCAAAATCGACTTGGTGCCAAGGAAGACTTTGTATGTAACAGCTTTCCCAGCTCCAGCTTTATTTAAGCTTATTTAAAATTTGGAAATAAAGCTTTATTTTATATGGTGTTTAATTGAATGAATACAACACGAGGAGAATAGCAACATGGGAAAAAAGCATACTCGTCCCCGTAGTTTTCACCTGTATTTATATAAAACTATATAGTATTTAAAGCATTTTCTCTTGCATGCACTTTCGCCCTGTCCACCACATACACTTTCGCACCGTGTTATTTACTTGATTTTCATTTATTACAAATTCCCCTCCCCTTCTTTTTAAAAAGTGTTGTGTGGCATATTTTCACTACCTAAACTTACTTTTGCTGTTTTTATTGCTAAATAATACTAACATTTTCATGAACTAATAACACAGAGACTAACCAACTAGTAAGCTTTTTGTTGAGGGTTTGGGACTATCTAAACATCTAAATCATTTCCTTTGGCAGGAATTTGTTAAGTGCCTCTTGTCTGCATGAGGTAATGTCTTTTGCCTTGAACGCTGAATCACTTTTTTTTTTTTTTTTTTTTTTTTGGAATTTGGTGAGACCTCCTTGATATAATTAGGGAATCTGCATGTTTGTTTCAAATCAGAGTAATTAAATTTGTAGTGTAGTTACTGGCATTATGTTAGTGTGTCAGTAAATGCACAAAATATTAAGGAATATGAACTTCTAAATTGCTTTCTCAGATATTCTTGGAGGCTGCTTATCGGTCTTGAACCTGAGCTGTGAATAAAAGACTTTGCTGCTACTGCTCTACCCCTCGCTCCCCAGTTCAGCTGGTAGCTCTGCCAACAACTTCCTTTCCGTTGTTCCAGACAGTCTTGCTAAATGTTTCACACCTCCTTGTCCCTTGGTCCGTTTATTGAATTCATTGACGGAGATTGCAGCTCTAGATGAATCCAACTATCATCTCGTGGGCTGCTGAACAGTGCTAAAGAAAGTAACAAACTGGGCATATTGGAAGCACTGTGAACCTCGTCTGTGCTTCCCCACTGTCTGGTAATACTCTTTGTTTCTCTGTGTAGCTTACTCTCCTCCTCTCTGTATTAACTATTTCACACCTTCTCTCCAGACTTCCCAGATTCCCTTTCTTCTTCTTCACTTTTAACAGATGATCTTGCCTTCTGTTTTGTAAGGAAAATAGAATCATCAGAGTAGAGCTAACTTAGCTTCCTGTTATCAAATCCACAGGCCTATATAAACCTGCAGGATCCTGTCATTTCCTTCCTCCTGTTGTAGTGGAAAAGGTCTGTTTCCACCTGTGCACTAGATCCTGTCCATTTGTAAGGAACCCTGTTCTTGCTTGTTTGTTTGTTTTGCACAAATAATTGCTCCCTTTTTTCTGGTTCCTTCCAGTCAATAATTAAATGTTATCAAATCTGTTGCTTCTTAAGCCAAAAAAAACCCTCAGTCTTACAAATCTCCTGAGAGGTACTACTCTATCTTCTTCCCTTCTTAGCCAAACTTGTTGAAAGTTTTCTTTGTTCAGTCTCCCTTTCCCAAGCTCTTTCATTTCTCAGTCTACCACAAAATAGCCAGGAGAATTGCTGGATACTTTTCCTCAACTTACACCGCCCTCAGCAGCATTTAAACTTGGCAACACTCTCCTGTTCCCTAGGCTTCTGCAAGAGCACACATACGTCTCATCTCAGGCTTTTCTTTCTGTATTTCTGGACCATTCTCCATTACCTCCTGTGTAAGCTCCTTTTCAACCTTCAAGTGTTGCGGTGCCCTGTTGTCCTAAACCCTCTTTTCTTCTGTGCTGTCTTCCTGGGCAATCTCAATTGATCCCATGGCTTTAGTTATCTATGTGTTTTCATCTCACACATTTATGTCTTGTCTTTACTATTCAGCCCTCTCTTCTAAACTCTAGACTTACATAGTATCTGCCTGCTCACCACCGCCACTTGGAGTTCTTGAGAGTACCTCAAATGCCGCTATTGTCCCCCTGTGCTCCCTTTCGTATTAAAGGACATCACTGTCCATGTGGCTGTTCAGGCCAGAAATCTGAGAGGCATTCTTGAGTCTTCTCTCTTCCTTACTTCCATATTCAACAAACAGCCAGGTCCTGTTCCGTTTGCTGCCTGAATCTTTCCCATATCCAGACATTCTTTCTAGCCCCACTGCTGCTACTCTTTTCCTACTATTTGTCGTCTTTAGTCTGGTTACAGTGGTAGCTGCTTTTCCTTTATCTGGTCCTGACTCTTCAATCTAATTCTCCCTGTAGCCAGGGTGGTGTTTTGGGGGATTTTTTTTTTTTTTTTTTTTTTTTGAGACAGGGTTTTGCTTTGTCGCCGACGCTAGAGTGTAGTGGTGTCATCGCGGCTCACTGCAGCCTCAACTTCCCAGGTTCAAATGATCCTCCCACCTCAGCTCCCAAATAGCTGGATTACAGGTGCGTGCCACCACACTATTTTGTAGAGATGGGGGAGTCTCATTGTATTGCCCAGGTTGGGTTTGAACTCCTGGGTTCAAGTGATCCTCCCACTCCGGCCTTCCGCAGTACTGGGATTATAGGTGTGAGCCACTGCACCTGGCCCAGGGTGGTGGTTTAAAAAACATTTCTCACCAACCTGATGCTTTAAAAAACAAACAAAAAAAAAAACAGTTATGACATTCTCATGACTAAATCCCCTTGATGGCTTCTTGCGACCTTAGAGCAAAATCCAAAATGTTTAACGTAGACCTGATATGATACAACCGGTTTAGCTCTTGAGCTTCACCTTATGTGACAGTCCCATCCTTCCCTACACTGCAGCCATATTGGACTCTCATTTTCTTGACCATACTAACCTTTTTGCCACCTCAGAGCCTTTCTGGAACATGCTCTCCCCATTCTTTTGTCTGGCTGAATTCTTACTCATTTTTCAGACCTCTCATGAGATACCATTTTCTCCAAGAAGTCTTTTTTAACCCACCAAATTAGATTGGATCCTGCTTTATACACTCCCGTGGCACCTTGAAGGAAAAAAAACTAGAGTCATTACTGTGCCATTGTTTGGTAATACCAACCCTAAGTGGGATATTTTTTTATTAGTAGAACTCATGACATTTTATTTCTACTCTACTGTATAAAGCTCTCTGCCCAACTTCTTTACCCCCCCTCCTCCAGTAATAACACTAATTCTTTGTACCTCTGTAGTGCTTTATTCTTTTCATAGCACTTTACATCCATACTTTACACTGATCCTTAAAACCTACTTCCCCTGAAGTATTTAGGGCAGAAATGTTATCCCCATTTTACCAGTGAGGAAACTGACTGTGAAGAGAATACAACTTAAGTTTAAGTAGATCATTCTAAGTAACTTTTTTCAGTCTTTCTATTGCTTACATGAATAACATCATTTTGCTACACAAATAACATACACATGTTCCTAAAAAGAGTCATTGAGGGGCAAAATAGTAATAGTGTGGCTTCATAAAATTATGCAGTTAGTACTTAATATATTCTTCAGCATTAGTCAAACATTTTTTTAATATTCCAGCTTGAAATTCAGAATCATCCTTTTTTTGAATCACTCAGCTGGGCTGACCTTGTACAAAAGAAGATTCCACCACCATTTAATCCTAATGTGGTAAGTATATATCCAAATCTTCCTTTCTAAAATCGTGAAACATAATAGCAGTTCATTATCATTTTGAGACTAGATCTCAGAATCACCTGAATTAAATGGAGTCATTACCTAAATATTTGTGAAATATGTCACTCAGGGTTGTCTAGTATAACTGATAACTTTGGGGAGACCAGTAAGATTATAGTTAGATTAGCTTGATAAAAATATCTTCCAGGACAGTAATTGTAAAGTGTTTCTTTGGAATATGTGTAAGAAAAGAATGAACTCAATAAGTCAGCCAGGCATGGTGGCTCACACCTGTAATCCCAGCACTTTGGGAGACTGAGGCGGGCAGATCACTCCCAGCACTTTGGGAGGCCGAGGTGAGTGGATCACTTGAGGCCAGGAGTTCAAGATCAATCTGGCCAACATGGCGAAACCCTGTCTCTACTAAAAATACAAAAAAAAAATATTATCTGGGTGTGGTGATGCATGCCTTTACACTCCCAAACTACTAGGGAGTATGAGGCATGAGAATCACTTGAACTCAGGAGGTGGAGATTGCAGTGAGTCAAAATTGCGCCACTGCACTCCAGCCTGGGTGATAGAGCAAGACCCTGTCTCAAAATAAAATTGGAAAAAAAAAAAGAAAAAACCAGGTATAGACAAACATTAATAAAATAATATTAATGTAAATTGTTACTTTTTTTGGGAAAACAATAGGATAGTATTATAAAAATGTTAGTGTTAGCTAGACTTGTTAAATCTATTTGATGGAAACATTTCACCTAAAGATAATTTGTTTAAAGCAAAAAGCCACATTATAGATGAGCTTTATACTATTAACAGTGGTGGAAAATTTTGGAAAATACAGTAAATATATAACAACAGGGAAATTGTTAATAATCATCAGTAGGCCAGTAATGATGTTAGTAACTAATGATAGCTTCCTTTGTATAGGGATATACACTTTGTATGTGTTATAATGTATAATTTACTCTTCAAGCTACCAGCTTATTAATAAGTATTACTTAGTGATACTTACTGTTTTTCTTATTACACATTTTATAAATGAGGAAATAGAAGCTCAGAGATGTCTCATAGCTGGATGAAAAGTAGTAGAGCCAGGATTCTAATATATGCATGATTCCAGAGTCATTATTCTATGTTTCCTTATGTGCTATTGTCTTTTCTTGTTAAATTGTATAAAAATGAGCAAACACTTAGAAAATCCTTATAAAGTTACATGAAAACATGGTAATTACGATTTTTGTGACTTATAATTATAGCAGTAAAAATAAGGATAAGGACTAGAATAGAATATAAACCAAGATTGGTTTGGAGTTTTAAGATCATAGGTGAATTTAAGTTTTTTGATGTTGCTGTAAAACTTAAGGAATACTTTTTTTTTTTTTTGAGACGGAGTCTCGCTCTATCGCCCAGGCTGGAGTGCAGTGGCCGGATCTCAGCTCACTGCAAGCTCCGCCTCCCGGGTTTACGCCATTCTCCTGCCTCAGTCTCCCGAGTAGCTGGGACTACAGACGCCCACCACCTCGCCCGGCTAGTTTTTTGTATTTTTTAGTAGAGACGGGGTTTCACCATGTTAGCCAGGATGGTCTCGATCTCCTGACCTCGTGATCCGCCCGTCTCGGCCTCCCAAAGTGCTGGGATTACAGTCTTGAGCCACCACGCCCGGCCTTTTTTTTTTTTGGAGACAGTCTTGCTCTGTCGCCAGGCTGGAGTGCAGTGGTACAATCTTGGCTCACTACAACCTCTGCCTCCCTGGTTCAGGAGATTCTCCTGCCTCAGCCTCCTGAGTAGCTGGGACTACAGGGGTGCGCCACGCCCAGCTAATTTTTGTATTTTTAGTGGAGATGGGGTTTCACCATGTTGGCCAGATGGTCTCGATCTCTTGACCTCATGATCTACCCGCCTCAGCCTCCCAAAGTGCTGGGATTACACGCATGAGCCACCGTACCTGGCCAGGAATACTTTTTTAATAAATTAGAGCAGATAAGGAGATCAGGAAAGTATTACTTAATAGTCTATCAGGCTTTGTTCAAGGTTAATTTCTATACATAGCTCCTAGCTGGTATTAATAGGTGTAATATTTTACACCTACATACATAATATTTGTAGACTGACTTATTTCATGTAGTGCATCCAGGAATGACACCATTAAGAATAATTTTGGTCCCAAATTTGTAGAGTTTGTGGTAGGAAACTAAGACTCTTAAGAATTATTTTTCTCTTTAAACTAAGTATCTTAGCAGAATTTAATTACATTCAAATAAATATATCATCAGGCATGTTGAATTAGGGACTCCTAAGCGACATTGGAAATGGATAGCTCCAGCATTGGATCCCTGCTCTTCTCTGATTAACTAGAAGTTAAGCTTCTCTATACTTATTTTTTCTTTCACAACATGAGCTGTGAGGTTTAATTCAGGTAACATTTGTAAAGCACCAGAGTGCATTGCACACAGTAGATATTTAATTAGTAGTATCTTTTTTTAAATCATTTTCCCTCTGGGAATTTTCCCATTAAATATTTATTGGTAACTTGGTTAGAAAACACAAATAAGTAGAACATAGGCTCTGTCTTCAAGAAAATTACAGTTAAGGGGATAAAATATATAAAGAAAAGAGTTAAATAATTACATATTTAGTGTATATCAGGCATTCAGTGTTGTGGAATTAAAATATGTAATGTGAGACAAAAAAACAGATGCCTCATAATAACTTAACGGTTGCATCTGTGGAGGAAAAACAGTTGACAGAAATAGTCTTTGATGCTTATTCTTTCAGTGAATAAAATAAATTAGTTGATTTTCCAGTCTGCTTAGTGTTTTATATTTTAATAGGGTAGTTACTAGGAAAAGAGAGAGTGGGGTTATTGACCATGCTAAGCTTCAGTATTTCTATGATGAATGTTGCTAGCAGTTAGTGAGAATTATTTCAAAATCTAACAGGTTGCATAAAATATTTACTTCAATTATACATGTCCAACTAGTCTACATTAAAAAAGGACTCGAAGCAGTTTATTTCTCTGTTTACAATGGGTAAAAACGCATTCTGGATTCTCTTTTTTAGCCCACAAACTTGAGGTTATACTGCTAAATGTTTAATTTATCCTAATAAGATTTGGTTGCTTAATTTTATTCTCTCAGCAGCTGATAGAGAAAGGATAAGAGCAGTGACCTAAAATGGGTTAATACGATGAATGGGTACATTATTATATTTTAATCTTTTTTTTGCTATAAAATTCATCAACAAGTAGTTTTTGACACTTTGAAAGATTTCTCATTATACCATTTCAGAACAACTAACACAAAACAAGTACCTCCAAAATAAGCCATATTCATATAGGATTTCACTGAAGCTCCATCTGAAATCCTCTAAGTTACTGTGAAGCATATCCTAACATTCCATTCTATGTTGGATACATCCAGGTTTTGATCCTTGCCTCCACTTTAATCCTCAGAAAAACTCACTTTGTTGCTGGTTTCATTTTGGCATCTCTTGGAATACAAATTGCTCAGGTTTTTCACTCCATTTTTGAAATACCGACTATTCTGCATAGCTAATAGTTTACAGTTCTGTGGCCTCAGTCCCTGCTTTAGGAATTTCTGTTTATTATGTATAAAATTTTGGAAAAGTATGAAAACAAAATTGACTGCTTGGTGGGAGAGGGCTCACCAACATTTCAAATTAGAGGTTCCCCCCAAAAAGTCCTTAAAGTAAAAGTATAGCATAGAAAATAATCCCTAAATTTAAAAGTATGGCATAGTCCTGCCCTGAGGGGGCAGATGTGATATGCAGCTGTGATAGGAGTGGCTTGGCCATGCTCCAAGTGGGTCATTCAGAACCCACATCTGAGGGGTGGGTCTGGACCTGGGGAGAGGCTGGCATCATTCTAACAATTCTGTAAGCTGAAAGAAAATATTCATTGCTGGGTCAATGAATCACTCTTTTTAATGGTTGTTAACACTAGCTAAGTGTTAAGGGATTGGATGTGGTAGGAAGGGAAATACTATGAAAATACAGGGGTTTGGAAAGGACAGATTGGAGTGAGGGTGTGTATTAGTACCAGGACATAGTTATGCTGTACATTTCCAAGTAGAGGGGAGAAAAAAGGAATTAGCTTCTAGTGCATGCCCCCTGTGTACCCAGCATTGTGTTAGGTCCTTGATACGCATTCCCAAACCCTCTGAAGAATTAAAACCTAGGTATGGGCTGAACACAGTGGCTCATACCTGTAATCCCAGTACTTTGTGAGGCTCAGGTGGGTGGATTTTTTGAGCCCAGGAGTTCCAGACCAGCCTGGGCAACATGGCAAGACCCTGTCTCTTAACAACAACAACAACAGAAAGTGAAAAATAGCTGGGTTTGGTGGAACGCACCTGTAGTCACACCTATTCCAGGCACCTAAAAGTAACCCTTGCAAGACCTAAGATAATATTTTTGTGTATAATCTTTAAGTGAAGAATGCTTTTTAAAGCACGACCCAGAAGCCATAAGAGAAAAAAGTTGGTAGATTTAACTACATAAAATTTCATTTATTGATTGATTGATTGAGATAGAGTCTTGCTCTGTTGCCCAGGCTGGAGTGTAGTGGCGTTATCTCGGTTCACTGAAACCTCCACCTCCCAGGTTTAAGCTATTCTCCTGCCTCAGCCTCCCAAGTAACTGGGACTACAGGTGTGCACCACCACACCCGGCTGCTTTTTGTATTTTTAGTAGAGATGGGCAGAGCCCTCACTCTTTTTAAATTGTTTTTATTTATTTATTTATTTATTTATTTTTGAGATGGAGTCTTGCTCTGTCAATTATAATTTTACTTATAACTGCTTCATTTCTTCATCAGAAGGCTTTACCTACCCATAATTGAGAAACCAGATGGATAGGCATTTTATGGAAATTGATTGATTGATTGAGACAGAGTCTTGCTCTGTCACCCAGGCTGGAGTGCAGTGGCACGATCTTGGCTCACTGCAACCTCCACTTACTGGGTTCAAGTGATTCTCTTGCCTCAGCCTCCCAAGTAGCTGGGACTGCAGGTGCCTGCCACCATGCCTGGCTAATTTTTTGTATTTTTAGTAAAGATGGGGTTTCATCGTATTAACCAGGTTGGTCTCGATCTCCTGACCTCGTGATCCGCCTGCCTCGTCCTCCCAAAGTGCTGGGATTACAGGCATGAGCCACCGTGCCTGGCCCGCCCTCACTCTTAATAAATCACATAGTACAGGTTGAGTATCCTTTATCTGAAATGTTTGGGACCAGAAGTGTTTTAGAATTGGAATTGTTTTTTGGATTTTGGGATTTACTTAGTGATTGAGCATCCCAAATCTGAAAATCTGAAATTCAAAATGCTCCAGTGACTGTCATGTAGATGCTCAAAATTTTTGGATTTTGGAGCATTTTGGATTTGGGATGCTCAGCCTGTATTATTCCTGTCAGTATCAGCCATGAGCCATGAGGGCATTATAAAGGCAAGTCAGAGAACATTGCCATCATTTGAGTACCTTCTACATGTTACATTCGGGAAATTTTATTTATTAACACATCAGATGCTTGCAACAACCTGAGGAGGTAGGTGATAGTATTATTACTTTATGGAAGAAGAAACAAGCTCATAGAGATAGAGTAGTTTATATAACGAATTACACAACTGTAATCCCAGCACTTTGAGAGGCCAAGAAGGGCATGTCACTTGAGGTCAGAAGTTCGAGACCAGCCTGGCCAACATGGCGAAACCCTGTCTCTACTAGAAATACAAAAATTAGCTGGGCATGGTGGCACATACCTGTAGTCCCAGCTACTCAGAAGTCTGAGGCATGATAATTGCTTGAACCTGGAAAGTGGAGGTTTCAGTGAGCCAAGATCACACCACTGCACTCCAGCCTGGGCAACAGAATGAGATTCTGTCTCAAAAAAAAGACAGCTAGCAAATTTTGTAGCCAGAATTCAAGAGCCCATGCTTGAAGGATTGTATATAAGAATTTGATGAGGAAAAATGCATACATGCATACATACATATAAAATTTCTAGCATTCTTTGTCTCTATGGGGGATTTTCTCATATGGGAGGATCTAGCATTCTGGGTTTTTGTGGTCTCTGCTCAGTCTGTAGATGTATGAGGCTATTATCCTTTGCTTGTAATATCTGCTCTGAATTTCTATGAGTGCACCCTCAGTTAGACTTAATGACTTGAACATTTTAAGGGTTCCCTTCCCTGTAGAGCAGAAATAACCTAGAAATTCAGGGATGGACTTTTTTTTTTTTTTTTTTGAGACGGAGTCTTGCTCTGTCGCCCAGGCTGCAGTGCAATGGCGCGATCTCGGCTCACTGCAAGCTCCGCCTCCCAGGTTCACGCCATTCTCCTGCCTCAGCCTCTTGAGCAGCTGGGAATACAGGCACCCGCCACCAGGCCCGGCTAATTTTTTGTATTTTTTTAGTAGAGACGGGGTTTCACCTTGTTAGCCAGGATGGTCGCGATCTCCTAACCTCGTGAACCGCTCGCCGAGGCCTCCCAAAGTGCTGGGATTACAGTCGTGAGCCACCGTGCCCGACCAGGGATGGACTTTAAGAGTGAATCACCTGAATTTGTATCCTAGTTTTTGTCTATAAATATATTGGGGCTGAGCATGGCGGCTCATGGCTGTAATCTCAGCACTTTGGGAGGCTGAGGTGGGAGGATTGCTTGAGCCCAGGAGTTCAAGACCAGCCTGGACAACATGGTGAGACCTCGACTCCACTAAAAATAAAAAATAAGCCAGGTATAGTGACATATGCCTGTGGTCCCAGCTACTTGGGTAAGGCTTAGGCAGGATGATCCTTTGAGCCCAGGAGGTGGAAGCTGCAGTGAGCTGTGATTGTGCCACTGCATTCCATCCTGGGCTACAGGATGACACCCTGTCTCAAAATTGTGTGTGTGTGTGTGTGTGTGTGTGTGTGTGTAGGAAAGGTAGAGTCTATTAGCTTGCATCAGATTTGTAAAGGAAAATTAAGAATGACTGTCTCTGAGCTTAAGCAGCCATCATGCTTAATTTTCATATCAGGACTTCGTAGCCCTCCAGAGCTAAGATGCCCTAGTCAAATGCTTTATGACATTCTGTGTAGCACAGTAAGAGTCATCTTTCACAATTTTGCTTATAACCAATAACCTAATTAAATAACTGATAACAAAATTATAATTTTACTTATAACTGCTTCATTTCTTCATCAGAAGGCTTTACCTACCCATAATTGAGAAACCAGATGGATAGGCATTTTATGGAAATGCAAATACAAAATGCTATCCTGAAAGCCTACCTGAGACCTTTTTCTAAACTTGGATGTAGTGAGGCAGTGATGGGTAGAGAGAAAGGGGATCAGTGACAAGCCTTGAGATGTAAATTAACAATGAATCTCTGTTTGTGAGCCTTCCTTACCTTTCTCTCTCCTCCCCCAACTCAAAAAGAACCTTAACTGTTAGAACAAGCTTGTTCAACCCACGGTCTGTGGGCTGCATGCGGCACAGGGTGGTTTTGAATGCGGCCCAACACAAATTCTTAAACTTTCTATAAAATGTTGAGAGTTTTTTTGCATTTTTTTGTTTGCTTTTTAGCTCATCAACTATTGTTAGTGTTAGTGAGGGTGGTCCAAGACCATTCTTCTTTTAGTGTGGCCCAGGGAACCCAAAAGATTGGACACCCCTGTTTCAGAAGGACAGATAACTTCACCTAAATAATAAAGGTCAGGAAAGGAAAAACAGAAAAGTGTTTCAAGGGAATGAATTAGGAAGACATCTAAACTTGCCAGCAATAAACACACAAATTCATAAAGGAGTTGTAATAAAAGACTAAATTGGGCCAGGCGCAGTGGCTCACGCCTGTAATCCCAGCACTTTGGGAGGCTGAGGCAGGTGAATCACGAGGTCACCATGTCAGCCTGACCAACATGGTGAAACCCTGTCTCTACTAAAAATACAAAAAGTTAGCTGGGCGCAGTGGGTGGGTGCCTATAATCCCAGGTACTCAGGAGGCTGAGGCAGGAGAACTGCTTGAACCCAGGAGGCGGAGGTTGCAGTGAGCCAAGATCGCTCCACTGGCACTCCAGCACAGGTGGCAGTGCAAGACCCTGTCTCAAAAAAATAAATAAAGGATTAAATTAATGAAAGAAAAGCTAAGATGAATAATACTGTGCTTTTGATGTTTTAGGCTGGACCAGATGATATCAGAAACTTTGACACAGCATTTACAGAAGAAACAGTTCCATATTCTGTGTGTGTATCTTCTGACTATTCTATAGTGAATGCCAGTGTATTGGAGGCAGATGATGCATTCGTTGGTTTCTCTTATGCGCCTCCTTCAGAAGACTTATTTTTGTGAACAGTTTGCCATTCAGAAACCATGGAGCAAAATAAGTCTATAGATGGGACTGAAACTTCTATTCATGTGAATATATTCAAATATGTATAACTAGTGCCTCATTTTTACATATAATGATGAAAACTGAAAAAATGTATTTTCTGCTATGTGCAAGAAAAATAGGGCATTTCAAAGAGCTGTTTTGATTAAAATTTATATTCTTGTTTAATAAGCTTATTTTTGAACAAAATTTAAAAGCTCTTATTCTTAGCATTAACCTATTTTTAAAGAAACCTTTTTTGCTATTGACTGTTTTTTCCCTCTAAGTTTACACTAACATCTACCCAAGATAGACTGTTTTTTAACAGTCAGTTTCAGTTCAGCTAACATATATTAATACCTTTGTAACTCTTTACTATGGCTTTTGTTATCACATCAAAACTATGCAATTGGTACATGGTTGTTTAAGAAGAAACCGTATTTTTCCATGATAAATCACTGTTTGAAATATTTGGTTCATGGTATGATCAAAGTGTAAAAGCATAATGAATACATTGGCTGCTAGTTAACAATTGGAATAACTTTATTCTGCAGATCATTTAAGAAGTAACAGGCCGGGCGCGGTGGTTCACGCCTATAATCCCAGCACTTTGGGAGGCTGAGGTGGGTGGATCACTTGAGGTCAGGAGTTCGAGACCAGCCTGACCAACATGGAGAAACCCCGTCTCCACTAAAAATACAAAATTGGCGGGGCATGGTGGCGCATGCCTATAATCCCAGCGACTCGGGAGGCTAAGGAAGGAGAATCGCTTGAACCCAGGAGGCGGAGGTTGCTGTGAGCCGAGATCGCGCCATTGCACTCCAGCCTGGGCAACAAGAGGGAAACTCCATCTCGAAAAAAAAATAAGTAACAAAAAGAAATTATTTGTTTTTGAAATACCAATTCAACTTTGTGGATTATTTTTCCTCTGAAGGAAAAGAAAAAGTTTAATGGTTAGGATTTTTAAGTATTCCCAAAGATCTGAAGGGTAATAAAATGTACTGCTGGATTTTTTAAGGTGGTACCAAAAATGAATGTCTCTCTGTCGTATATTTATATTACAAATACATTGTGTTTATGTTCTGTTCATCTTTTGAATGTTTAGTATGCTATTAAGTCATTCTAAATCTTTGTATTTGCTTTTGCAAATAGGTATTTCAAAGCTCTTTTCCTAATTGGTTAAGTAAAATAAAAAATTGAGCTTTCTAGAGTATTTGCCTAATTGGGAATTAAAAAGTAAAATAACGGCCAGGCATGGTGGCTCATGCCTATAATCCCAGCATCCTGGGAGGCCGAGGCAGGCAGATTATTTGAGCTCAGGAGTTTGAGACCATCCTGGTCAACGTGGCGAAACCCTATCTCTACAAAAAATACAAAAACTAGCCAGACATGGTGGCACATATCTTTAGTCCCAGCTACTCTGGAGGCTGAAGTTGGAGGATGACTTGAGCCCAGGAGATGGAAGTTGCAGTGAACTGAAATCGTGCCACTGCACTTTTCAGCCTGGGTGCCAGAGCGAGACCCTAGTTAAGAAAAAAAAAAAAGAAAAAAACAAATTGTGGGTCAGTGTAAATGTATATAGTTTTATTGCAATGTAACAAAAGCTAAAAATCAGGCAGATGTGTATTCAGTATCCAATTCAATATATCTTAGAAAAAGTGCAGGAAACAGACCTTAAAATTGTAACCTACCAACTAACTTACATGCTTATAAAAGTAAAGGAGAATAACTGGCTGGGCATGGTGGCTCATGCCTATAAAATCCCAGCACTTTGGGAGGCCAAGGCAGGAGGATCAGTTGAGCCCACGAGTTCAAGACCAGCCTGGGCAATGTAGTGACACCTCATTTCTATTTATTTAAAAAAAAAAAAAAAAAAGAGGATACAGAAGAACTTTAAAAAATTAAAAATAAGCTTACCTTGGATTCTTGGCTTAGAGTAGAGGTTTTTTTAAGTTATGTAGGAAACATTTTTGTAAAAGTTTAATGACCCACGTTAGATGCTCCAAGAGCAAGCATCCCTTCCATGTATGTCTTGAGAAAGAAATCACGAAAGCATTTCTCACCAATATTCTTTGGCTTAAAAGTGTTTAGCAGAATTGGGCAGTGGGGGTGGCAGTGTGCTTTTCTTATATTAATAATATTTACATCCAATACACTGAATCTTCCTTTAGAGGTAAGACTTTAATATCTACACTGTAAATATTTGGTTTATTTGGCACTACTGTAAGTTTCGTTTTTACACAAAGCTCTTATTATAAAGCAAAATAAAAATTGTAGTTTCTTGTATAATTTTTTTGTACTCATTCATTCCTGTTAAGCTGCCAAAAATTAAAGTGCAATATTGTATATTTTTAAGAACAAATTTAAAATAGAATTTTGATGTTTCTCAGATCACAAGAAATACAAATCTATATAGTATAATAAAATCAGCAAAAAAATCAACTAATGTCTGTCATTATTTGAAATTGAAATTGGTAATGGTTACAATAGTCATTATAAAATAAATTATTTATATGTGTGAGGGAAAATAAAATTTGAACAAATTATTTGGACACATGAATTACTAGATTATCATAGGCTTATGTGTATAATATCCAGAGAACAAAATGTTTTCTAAGTTTCAAGTTTATGTTTTCTCTCATAGCATAAGCCTTTTAGGAAAATGTATACCCTTCAAATAACCATTTCATGGTTATTATCAAAATATACCAGAAGGTCTAAATGAAGACTCTAACATTTTTCATGTTACCCATACCTCCCATTTTATTGCATATGGTATAAAATAGGGCTTCCCAGCCATTGTTGCCTCATGATACACACTGAAAATTACCAAATTTGTCACACTTGGGGAATAGGTGCCCAACGATGCAGGCAGTGGTGGTAGATCCTCTGTGTGAAGTTTTCATATGCAACTTACAAAGAAAGCCAGCAAACACTGTTTAGATATGATTTAAGAAGAGTTAGCATTTGAATGGAGGTTTAAATATTCTGAATTTTTACCATTGAAAAATTTATCATTACCAATATCTTTAGCATGTTTGTAACAAATAATAGTGATTTGCCACAGTCAAATGATACTACAGTACACAAACATAAGTCATTCTTTTGTATATAATGTACTCTATTAAAAGTAGGAATAGATATGCAGGAGCATTTTTGGTAATGCTGTAATGACCTTTTCAATACAGTGTTAAAACTGATAACTTCATCCCTCATACAAGCAGTTTGGAAATTAAGTCTGTTTTTGAAGTGGGATTTCCCATTCATTCATTTATCGAGACTGTCTCACCCTGTTGCCCAGGCTGGAGGGCAGTGGTGCAATTTCAGCTCACTGCAACCGCCATCTCCCAGGTTCAAGTGATTCTCATTCTTCAGCCTTCTGAGTAGCTGGGACTACAGGCATGCACCACCACACCCAGCTAATTTTTGTATTTTTTAGTAGAGACAGGGTTTGGCCAGGCTGGTTTGGAACTCCTGGCCTCAAGTGATATGCCTGCCTCAGCCTCCCAGAGTGCTGGGATGACAGGCATGAGCCACCATGCTAGGCCTGGAGGAGGATATAACAATTCTAAATATATATATGTGCACCCAACACTGGAGCACCCAGATTAATAACAAAGCAAATATTACTAGGTCTAAAGAGAGAGAGAGACAGTAATACAATAATGAGGAATTTCAATATCCCCCTCTCAGTATTAGATCACCTAGACAGAAAATTAAGAAACATTGAATTTAAACTGGACTTTAGACAAATAGACCTGTCAGATATTTACATAACGTTGTATCTAACAACTGCAGAATATATATTCATTTCATCAGCACATAGAACATTCTCCAGAATAGACCATATGTTAAGCTACAAAACAAACCTCAACAAATTTTTTTAAATCAATGTATCATGTATCTTCTCAGACCACAATGGAATAAAACCAGGAATCCATACCAAGAGTAACTTTGGAGAGTGTAAATATGTGGAAATTGAACAACATGCTCCTGGATGACTGACCATTGGGTCAACAAAGAAATTAGGACAGAAGTGGAGAAAAAATTTTTGAAACAGATGAAAATGGAAACATGACATACCAAAACCTGTGGGATGCAGCAAAAGTAACACTAAGAGAAGCTTATGGTAATAAATGCCTACATCCAAAAAGTAGCAAGGTTGCAAATTAACAATCTAACAATGTACTTCAAGGAACCAGGAAAAGCAAGAACAAACAAAACCCAAGATGAGCAGAAGAAACAATAAAGATCAGGGCAGAACTAAATGAAATAGACTAAACGATATAAAGGATCAATGAATTAAATTGGTTCTCGGAAAAGATAAAATTGATAAGTAGACTAAACAATATAAAGGATCAATGAATTAAGTTGGTTCTTGGAAAAGATAAAATTGATAAACTGCTAGCGAGATTAGCCAAGAAAATAAGAAGACCACCCAAATAATCAGAAATGAAAAAGGAGACATCACAACTGATACCACACAAATAGAAAAGATTATCAAATTATTATGAACAACTATACATAGGAAAACCTAGGGCCGGGCGCGGTGGCTCACGCCTGTAATCCCAGCACTTTGGGAGGCCAAGGCGGGTGGATCATGAGGTCAGGAGATCGAGACCATCCTGGCTAACATGGTGAAACCCCGTCTCTACTAAAAATACAAAAAATTAGCTGGGTGTGGTGGTGGGCGCCCGTAGTCTCAGCTACTGGGGAGGCTGAGGCAGGAGAATGGTGTGAACCCGGGAGGCAGAGCTTGCAGTGAGCCAAGATGGCGCCACTGCAGTCCAGAAAAAAAAAAAAGAAAACTGAGAAGTGGATAAATTCCTGGAAACATAAAACCTACCAAGATTGAATCAGGAAGAAATGGAATACCTGAATGGACCAGTAATGAGTAGCAAGATTGAATCAGTAACAAAAAGTCTCCCAACAAAAAAAAGCTTATGACTAAATGGAATCACAGCCAAATCAAAATGATAATACACCACAATCAACTAGGATTTATACTTGATCCTATGTCAAGTATATGTAACAGATGCAAGGATGGTTCAACATAGGCAAATCAATACACATGATACATCACATTAACAGAATGGAGAAAACACATGATCATCTCAATAGTTGGAGAAAAAGCATTTCATAAAATTCAACATCCCTTTGTCATAAAAACCCTCAACAAAACAAGGCATAGAAGGAATATACCTAAAAATAATAAAGGCCATATATGATAAACCCAGAGGTAATATAATAAATGGAAAAAGTTGAAAGCCTTTTCTCTAAGAACTGGAACAATACAAGGACACCCATTTTCACTACTTCTATTTGACATAGTTCTGGAAGTCATAGCCAGAGCCATCAGGCAAGAGAAAGAAAAAGCATGCAAGTTGGAAAAGAGTAAGTTAAGCTGGGCGCAGTGGCTCACACCTGTAATCCCAGCACTTTGGGAGGCTGAGGCAGGTGGATTGCTTGAGGTCAGGAATTTGAAACCAGCCTGGCCAACATGGGGAAACCCCATCTCTACTAAAATACAAAAATTAGCTAGTCGTAGTGGCGGGTGCTTGTAATACCAGCTATTAGGGAGGCGGAGGCAGGATAATCGCTTGAACCCAGGAGGGAGGCAGAGGTTGCAGTGAGCTGAGATGGCGCCACTACACTGCAGCCCGGGTGACAGCGAGACTGTCTAAAAAAAAAAAAAAAAAAAAAAAAGTTAAATTGACCCTCTTCACTGATGATTTTTTTTTTTTTTTTTGAG